CCTCGCGAAGATCAGAAATGCTTTGCTCCAGCTCAGCAAGCCTGGCCTCGGTGGTGTGAACCCGGAGCGCGAGTTGGTCATCAGCAGTCTTCGGAGTGGTAGCAACACGCACCGGGCGGGAGGCAACACTCCCCTCACGGTTGGCCCGGTATTGACTCCATGGGTCTTGCTCCAACCAAGGGTCAGCAGTCGGTGTGCCCGAGGGCGGGGCTTCTGCAGGCCGTGGGGGCGGACCGCCCGCCTGTATCACCGGCAGTGGCGCGGCACGGTTTTTAACCTCAGTGATGAGCAACGGCGTCTGATTGAAATGGGCCGTCCAAGAGGGTGGCCCCGAGGCGGCCCCTAACAACCAGAACTCAGGCCCCAGTGTCTTCATGACCCGCACTGCCCACGGAAGTTGGCGAGCCCATTCTGCAATGTCAGATGCGGCTGCGCTGGCAGGGGACGGGCCTGCTTTGTACATACTTTTCACCTGCACCGTCAGTGGGACGTCTTGGCCTGGGCGGAGCTGCCTGTACAGGCGATCAAACGCGGCAGTGGGCACCCGGACACCAAAGCGGTTGCGGGCTTTAACCAGACCATGCTGCTCGGCGAGGAGGCTGACCTGTTTTTCGACTTCCAAGCGGGTTCCCGGCAACCATATGACTGCCCAGCCAGGGAGCAGCTGCCTGTCCCAAGTCCTGGGGACAACAAACACATTATTAAAACCACTCTGCTGCATCAGGCACTTCAGCAGGGAATCGGGCACCTTGGCAAGAAAAGAGCACTGATCGCAGAGCTGAGGCTGGCTAGGACGACCTGAGGCTTTGAATGCGCGGCCCCATGGACCATGAATGGCATTGCGTACCCCACGGGTCTGGAAGGCATCATTTGCAGCGCGCACCGGAGTTTTGGTGAGCTCCCGCCAGTCCGCCTCGGAGAAGTCGTCCTGGTACATGGTGAAAGTGCAACACGTGTTGCCCTGTATGGCCACATCTGATCCATGTGCCACGTGAGGGCGGATGCTGGTATCGCCGAGGTTGTGGTAACACGCAGCGATGAGGTGGTGGTGGCCACTCTCACGGTGGATAACAGGTATGCCGACACGCCCATCACAGGAGTCCGGGTCAGGGCACTCGTGGCCTGGTATGACCACGCACAGGGCCTCTGAGCCGATGTTCCGAAGCAGGTCTAAATCAATACCTGTGGCTTCTGCAGCATCCATGAGCAGCGCCCCCGCACAGTCATGCGAAACACTATCCAGAATGGGCACCGGCTGGTGATCAATGCCAACCCAGGAGCCAGCCTCCAACCGGAAGTCACAAGCCTTAACACGCGCAGGGCCATCCAGGCGGCGACGGTGGACTGCCCGCTGCAAGCGCTTAGCTGCGCGTTCCGTTCGGTTGTCGCCGGCTGGGAGAACAACCCCGACTGAACTGGCCGCTTCATGCAGTTGCTGCCACTGTGCTGAAGTATCTCCAGCGGCTAAGGCTTTGAGGCACGCTGCCGTGCCCAGCTTTGGCACCAGGCTGTCAACAAGCAAAGTGGTCTCGGGAAGACCAATCCCTCGATCAAGGAAGAGGGCCGCAATCCGGGTTTTGGCCAAGAGGTTATTCTCTTCCTTGACCCCCCCTCCCGAGAAGGAAGGGTGGATCGTGATCAAAAGAGCGCCCGATTTGCGCAGGACCTTTGCACCTGGCTGCGCGGCGATTGCATGAAGACAGCTCTCGAGCACCTGCGGGAAGGGCCCGGAAAACACGCGGTGTGCCGCCTCCAAACCACATACCTCAGAGGCCTGTTGCCACCATTGAGAAAAGACGTCAAGGCGGAGGTCACTCGGCAAAGATCCTGTCCACAAGACTTTGGCAACAAGCTGCACCTCCACAGGCAAGCTCGGCCGGTCGCGGCTCTCAGTAGCAGCCTGGTCAAGAAAAGCCGTCAGCAGCCAGAGGCGCCATTGCTCATGCATGAGGTCGACCGGCATGTGCGGCCGGTTGAGATGAGGCCATGTGACAACCCGAAACTTTTGTTGCAAAGGGTCACCTGAAACATCAACAATCGAGGCCCAGCCCAGGGCATCAAGAAGATGGAAGGGCACCCCAAGCAGCAAGTCACACGCTGCTGCCTCTTCCCCACAAAGGGTCAGGAGACTGCCGTGGCGGTGGACGCCAAGTTTCGCAACATGTGGCGCAAGTGGGAGGAGGCTACTGATGGCACAATCTTCGTCTTCCGGCAAAGCAACAATGCATGTGCCAAAGCCCGAGGTGTCATTCAGGCGCTGTCCGGTGGTGGCATAAACGCCCAGGTCACAGGGTCCTTCATGCATGTCGTGGAAAACTCTGAGGAGTTGGGACCAAGTGCGGGGCGAGTTGCCATCTAACACGTAGCAAGCCTCCTGTGTCAACACAACGCACCATCCGTCCTGGGAGCCGGCCCCGCAAACAAAGCCACTGCAGTTAAGCTGGGGTTGCGAGGCAACTGGCAGGAGGATGGCCTCAGCATTCGTATCCCATGGGACACAAGTGGGCAGCCGGGTGCCGGGTTTGTCACATTGGCTGCCGATCGTAGCGTACAGCTGTGAAAGCGGCATGCCCGGTGGCACATGCAGCGTCATACCTTCACAAGAGCCAGGGCAATCAAGGAGGACAGTGTTGAAGGTGGGCGGTATACACCGCTCCGTCAACTGTTCAGGAGCAAGCTGGTGCAGGGCCTCAAACACAAGAGGGGCCTGATCACGCGAACAAAGCACCCAAGCATCCTTGACCGGAATCAACAGCGCATTGCCATTGTGTATTCGGTGCCGCAAGCACCAATGCACCGCCTGCGCCATCTCTGGCGCGCCACGTGACTGAAGCAGCCTGCAAACCTGTGCCAAAAGGGCGGCTGCATGTGGAACCGCAATTGCATTGCCCAGCAAACGCATCTGGGTCCGAGCGTCATGGGAGAGCCACAAAGGGAGCACCACCCCGTGAGCAACTGCAATTTCAGGGCCGGCGAAGAATCTCAGGCCATCTGGTGAGTTGAAAAGACAGCCCAACAGGCCTTGCGTCTCGAGCATTCGGGGCGGGAGTTCGTGCTGGAATTGATATTGAGCAACAAAAACCCCAGCACAGTCACCTGGGGACTTGACCCGGTACTGGACGGGAGACATCGGCCTCGCCCCAGCCCTGCGCGGAGTTGGCACAAGCCAGGGGTCCATGTACTTATCCAGCACCTCAGGCGCAAGCAGGCACGACGCTCGCATCGTCGGGGGCAGGGAAAACGGGACCTTCGCAAGGGCCAAGGATTGCATGCAGACCTGGGCCCAACAGCCCTGGTCCAACCTGGTCTGCTGAACACGCTCATCATCGATCCGGCCCAGGAGCATGAGGTAGCGGTTGCGCTGGCATGGTAGCACTTCACGGAGGTTGGCGTGGGTACTCCAAAGCACCTGGTATCCACATTGCTGCCACGCTCGAACGATTGCCGGATAGTGCGGGTGGTGTGGGAAGTTTTCCACCTGTTCGATGGCCACAAGTGGGACGGCACATGTTGCTGCGAGGTCACATACCCGCAGTAGGAGCAACCCATCAGTGCTATCAAGGCCTGAGCCGCCCCCAGCTCTGGACCAGGGCTGGCATGGTGAAGACACGCAAAAGGCATGGACCGGGAACCGGCCTAGAACCCTAACCCACCAACCCCAATTAACATCGGCACCCAGGTGGAAGGTGGCAGCATGGTCAACTCCCAGGTCATCCAAAGCATCAAGAGTGTCGACCTGACAGCGGGCCGGGTCGTGGCACTGCTGCATGTCCCAGCAGTCGGGGTCGTTGTCAATGGTCCAGCGGACATGTAGCGGGACCGCGTGCCTGTGCATAATATAGCTGGCCTGCGACCAACCAGCAAAGCCACCACTAAAGAACTCAGCAAGCTGAAGAACCTCACCCTGTACTACCGGAACCGCAGCAATCACCGCTGCATCGTGGCCGGTGCAGTCCAGAACTGGACTGCCATGCTGATACTGCAGTGCCGCCTGCAGCACTTTCAGGGGGCCTTGCATATGCTGCACGAATTGCCAGTCCGGCTGACGCAATTTGAGCACGACTTTCCTGGGACCTGGCTCGGACGAACCCTGCGCTTCCTGAACATGTGCACGCAGCAGAACCTCGGCGTCCTGTAGAACTGGTTCATCGAACGGGCAGACCACCAAATTCACAAGCTGTCCTGCCTGTAAGAAATCCAGACCCTGGCAAATGTGGCTCAATCTCTTCCACTCCAAACAATTCAGAATGGTATCACCTGCAACCGGAGTAAAAGCCATGGCCCGATTTGCGCCCCAACAGGGGTAACGACTTCGCCCCGTGTAGGCTCGGGCCCAGAAGCTCTCAACCCTAAACCCTGAACCCTAAACCCTATACCCCCGAACAAAGCGAAAGTTCGGTGCTCTTGCCTGTCTGACCTTGTCTCGTGCTCCCTGACTCCCCCCCGTCTTGCCGGTCATGTCTCAGGACACGACGTTTCCTTTCCTTGCTCACTCCCCCGGGGAGCCTGCAGGGCTGGAAACGGCCATTGATGTTGATGCTGAGATGCCTCCCGATGAGGAAGTTACTGCAGATGAGGAGGTGGTTGCAGGGGTTGGGAAAGTTGATGATGGGTCGGGGACCCCCCCTGGTGGTCCTCTCGCGGGGGCTGGGGGGGGGGAGGGATTGCTCTGAATGCTGCCGACGAGCGTCGCGGTAGGTCTGTGTCTAGGAGGGGAACAGCAAGCCGTGCAGTCCCTAAACCTGCTCCCCCGACCCCCACTGAGACGGAGCTGCACGAGGCAGCGATTGCGGCGGAAGCACTCATGGCAGCCATGACACCCGGCCCGCTGTCAAACGTTGGGAGTGTGGATAGTGTTCGAAACCTCAAAGCAGCTGAGAGTCCGGAGAAGCGACCGAAGCTAACAAGCAAAATGCCCCCCGGAGGCGTTGCAGCACCGCACTTTGGTCAGGTGGCGTTGCCAAGTTCGTCGGGTCATAAGCACCACCCCCCTTTGTTTCATGGAAGCCCGGCTGCCTATCATGCCCAACAGGGTCACCTGGTCACTCCCCCTCATGGAAGCCCCGCTCCACATCATGCCGAGCTGGGGCACCCAGTCCATCCCCCTGCCCCGGGCTCAGCTCTGTCGCCTGGGCCAAAGCACGAGCCTCAGCATTTCAATTTGGATCCTGAGCCTCCCTGGCTTCAGGGGTTGCAGATGGAGTTGCAGACCATAGTGCAAACCCAGAAACAAATGGCGACGCAGATGCAGGATTCTGGTCGTGAATTGGGGAGAATTCAGGAGGGCATTCGTAATCTGCATGTTGGGCAAGAGAATCTTGTCCGGCGCGCGGAAGCTGCCTTGGCTCAGATGAGGCGAGAATTCAAGGAGCTCGAGAAGGAGGTTCAAGATCTGCGAAGTGCTCCTCCCACTAGGCCTGCTAGCCCCGTCACCACTCCGCGGGCTGGGCAGGGGTATAACAGGTCGAATAGCCCGAGATTTGACGATGCGGGACAGCGGGAAGTGGATGAGCTACAGCTTGTCGCTGGCGGGTGGAATGAGGCTAAGCGAGAGCACGTTGAAGCAGATGTGCGGGCTATGTTTGAGAAGCTCAATGCACTGCCATTGTTGAAGAGCATCTTTATTCCGTATGTTAGGAGCAGCTTTTGCAGGATCGAGATTGTCTATACGGATGAGAACATTTGGGCTAGACGCAAGGTCCAAAGCACAGTCCTTCAGCACCTTAAGGGGCTTAATTTTCAGTCGGGGGTTGCTGGTCAAGAGCATGCTAGATTCTGGTTTGCACGCAACAGGACACCACAAGAGAGAGCGAAGATACGTGCAATCCTTCAAACCCAATCTCTGTGCTTGAAATTTCTCGACGAAAATTTAGTCGAGAAAGATTGGCGTGGAAAGGTATGGGCTGCAGGCACCCAAGTGCTGTTTCATGTTGACAGAGACACACGGCCTGCTCAAACGCTCATGCTCATTGACGCTCGCGGGAATGAGACCGGATGGTTTCTTAACGTTGCGCAGCTTGTCGCGCGACTGGGGGCCACGCAGGAAGCTGTCCTTGCTTTCTTTGATGCCAAACCAGAGTAGGGACAAGGAGGGGGAGCACAGAATCAGGGGTTCGTCACTGAGGGTAAGCCAAGCTCTGAGAGTCAGGATAGCCGGTTCTCTGAACCTGGCAGTTTTCGGCGCAGAGCCCCACTAAGGACTCAGGACTTTCTGACCATGCAGTGCATGACTTGGAATTTACATGGTAAAAGCATCGACCATGTCAGTACTTTGTTTCACTCCCTTGAGGTCCCTCCGCAAATCATGTTCCTACAAGAAGTGGGTGATATGAAAGATATTGGGTTGGGCGGACATGATGAACGATTGTTTGATATCGCAGGTGTAGAATTCGTTGGCTATGTGGCCAATCCTACGCTCTCACACAGGTGCATGGCAGTCCTCGTTGCATGTGAATTTGATTTTCTTTTGCGAGGTATTCAAGTGCATGATGCAGGACTAAGTGTGCATGGGTGCATGTTTAAGAATTCATGGATGCTCACGTCATTGCATTTGCCGCATGCTCATCGTGCTGACGCTGTGGATGTTTGGCGCACAACGCTCGCTCAGGCGCAGGATTTTCTGAGCTCTGTCCCTCTTGGGTGCCAGGTGCTCATTGGACATGATCTCAACCAAGATGCCCATGCTGAGGTTGATGAATTTGATGGCATGATGCATTACCGTCAGTTTGTGAGCAGAGCAGGCCTGGATCTTAGTGCCCCCCTGGGGGCTACCTGGGTGGCCAGGGGGACCGAAAGCAGCATTGATTTTCTGCTCTTCAGAATTCGAGGGGCAGAGCTCTCTTTCTGGAAGAGAGACGATCTACGTGTAGCTCTTCCGTCCGATCACAACGCGGTAGGTGCTACGATACGGTTCAGAACAGTTGCAAAAATCCAGAGAAGGAGACTTAGACAAACCTTGTGCGGCAAGTGGCACATTGATGCAGAACAGTTTTTTGCTGCATTACAGCACTTGCCTGAATGGGATCAAGGGGTGATCGCCCGTGCGGCAAGGAAGCCGGGGGTTAGCTCTCGTCTGCCGTCACTGAGGTACAAGGACCCTCCTGAGGTGAAAGTCCTCATTGACAGGCGCAAAACTTTCAGGGACCTCGATGTCCGTGCGGCCCTTATGCAGGAGATCCACCAGATGCGTAGGGAAGCTCGCCAAGAACACAAAACTTCGCTCCTTCAGAGAGCTAAGGGTGGGGATTGGAGAGCCATTGCACACCTTCGTAGGAGTGCTGCGGGGTCCTTCACTGAAGGTTCTTACATACAAAGAGCGGGGGGCCTGGACAAAGCCACTCGTGACCTACATGAGTTTTACGCCCAAAAGTATGCCTCCGTTGACCCTCCTATCTCGGAAGCACAGATGAGAGAGGCGAGCTGTCGGCACAACATTGAAGCTGCTCCTGTTACGCACCAAGAGCTCACTGAGGTGCTGTCTAAGTGTCGCTCGGGGGTCAGTGCAGGGCTGGATGGGGTCACTTTTGAGGGTTTGAAAGTCCTGCTTTCTCGGGATGATGAGGACAGACTGCCACAATACTTCACCCGCTTGTTGCGGGGGGAAGTTGCTGTACCTGAAAGTTGGCTCACTGGCAAAATCGTGTTGCTTCCTAAGGTTTCTCGTCCCTCAGAACCGAGCGAGCTCAGACCTATATGCTTAGTTCCTACGCTCAGCCGACTGTATGCCAAGGTGTTGATGGAAAGACTGAGGTCTTTTGCCCCACAATACCGTGCACACCAGTTGGCTTGCAGGCCAGGAGTGCAGGTGCTTGATGGTATTGTTGCGGCTCAGACCGTGATGGCCTTGGTGCGGAAAACTACGGGGAACACGTGTAAGGTCGCCAAGCTTGATATTAAGGCGGCTTTTGACTCCGTTTCTCATCAGGCAGTATACCGTTGGCTCATGGCCTGTGCACCTTGTGCCGAGGCGCGGAGACTCATGAACTTGTGCTTTGGCACGTCGGTTAACATTGCGTTGGGGGGAGTTGAGAAGACCCTGTCCATGCAGAGAGGGATCATGCAAGGGTCTGCATTTTCAGCAGACGTTTTTTCTCGCTTGATGGACTGGGCTCTGGCAGATTCACTTGCAGGCATGCAAGAATCTTTCCCTGAGTGGAGTCAGCATATTGGGGAGCTGCCTCACTTTCTCATTTATGCTGATGATTTGATTGTTTTTGCGGATTCTGAGGTAAGTCTCCAAGCTAAGATCCACTTGTTGGTCCATGCGCTCCAGAGGATCGGCCTTCAGGTGAATGCGTCAAAATGCAAAGTCCTGAACGAGCTGGGGAGGGACGTGCCCTGGCGTCTGGTTGCCATCCTCGGCGATCCCCCTACGGGGGGAGGACAAGCTGACGTTCCTGGGAATTCCGCTGGGACATGGGGTCGGGGCGACCACTATCATGGCTCATTTGTTACGTAAAGCTAGCAACACCTTTTTTGCGTTCAAGCGCCTTCTTGACGACGCGGCTACACCGCTTCACGTTCGACTTACACTTTTTGAGAGCTTTGTCACGGCAAAGTGGCAGTGGGCTGCGCCCGCCATGTTTCCCGACAAACGAACCCTCAGGCAGATTGAGGCAAGTAAGAATACATACTTGCTCTCGGTATGTCGGGTCGGCACGGATCCTCTTCTGCACTGGATATCGAACACCATGAGTAGGCGTCGAGGGGTTCGGCTCATGTGCTCACTTGCCGCTGGGCCCGATTGGCGGCGCACCTGGCTAAAAAGGTTCTGGAGTTACTATGGCCACCTTGCGCGTTGTGACATCTGGCATCCTCAAAGACTTCTGTTGCGGGCATGCAGCAGTTCCAACTTCAGTCGGGGGCTTAAACCTTCGTGGATCGTCGATGTGGCATTTCGCAAACTCCAGAGGGTTTACTCTCAACTGCGAGCTGCTCGTGCGGACGATGCGTTGCCAGAGATGTGGGAAGTGTTTGCTCAGGACAGGGCTGCTTGGCGAGATATGTTTAAGGACTGGCTGCATCACTGGCTACCGGCTGAACAGGAGCCTCAACCCACCAGTGAATACCTTCTTGAGAGGCAGTTGGTGCTGCTGTGGCAAGGCAAGAAGGTTTTGCAAATGTTCCTCAGGCCATCACGCGATGTTCTCGAGGAACCGTACACGACTGGTTGCATGCATATCCGTGAGATGCGCAATGCCCGACGGCCTCTGGTGCTTCTCTCGGCCTCGCCTAGTGGCTGCCAGGCTGTTCTGAAACTGATAGGTGCACATGTGAAGCATAGATTGGTTGTTCAGGTGAAGCCCTCCGAGGACTCCCCCCTCGCCAGGTCCCTTGCTCTTCTCACTCTAGGTGCAAAGCTGGTCTGTCTGCTCCGGAGTTTCGGGATCCTGGGGGGGGCCGTGGTGGCAAGTCCGGGCTTGTTCCTCAGGGAGGTTTTTCAGGAAAATGCGCCACTGTCGCTCCTACATGACCTGGGAACCTGTAAAGGGGCTCTTGAGGAATTGGGAGACCAAGCCCTTTTTCTGTACCCCCTGCGAGGAGGCGAGGAGCTGCAAGATTATCTGAGAGAGTTCAGAGCTGTCGACATGCCTCAGAAGTATCTTACTCGGACGCACGATTTCAGTTGTGCGTTTTTTGGGTCGAATTTTCGTGATGTGCATGCTGCGCTGTGGGAGCTGCTGGGGGGTAGGAGAGGTTGAGTCGTCCAGGTTGTGAGGCGCGCGCTGTCTGTCTGTGATGTAGATGCAATATGTGCGCTTGCTTGCAGTGTGAGGTCAGTGCCGGGTGGAGGGGTCAAAAGGGGGGGGGGCAGGGCGGGAGGCTATTTCGGTTCACTCGCTCTCGCTGTTCATGTTTTTGTGCATAGGCAGGCAGGCGCGGCTCAATATTTTGTGATCTCTGTCTTTGGTTGCCAGAATGGAGTCGCTCGAGGCCATTAATGCGGCTGCGGCTTATTTGCTGGCACAGACTGAGGTCACTACAGAGCAAGTGGCCTCGATAGCTCAGCGACTGCTGCATGTGAGGAATCCTGCCACGCTGGGAGCCTATGTGCGAGTACAGGCAGCTCTGTACCCCGTTACCCAGGAGTGCCCGGATGTGGTGAGACTTCTTGTGGCTCATGTGAACTCAGCCTTTGAGGGAGCGCCTTTCCTGGCTATTAGAGTGCAGACCTCAGGAAGCGAAGGACCTCATAAGGACGGACAGAACTCGCATTTGCCGTCCCTTGTGTGCAACCTGTCTCCTGGGACACCAGGGGGGACGTGGACTGAGGATCCGGATGGCAAGCTTTTCATGCGATGCCCTGATGGGGTGATGAGACTAGGTCGTTTGCTTATGGGGACTCATTATCGCTTGAGTGCGAGGACCTTATGGCATGCTGCCATTCCTTGCGAACTGCGGCAGCGGCTGATGCTCATTGCCTGGGTGCCTGCTGGATGGATAAACTTGCGTGAGAACGATCTTCATACTCTACAGGGGTATGGGTTCTCTGTTCCTACGGCTGCGCAAGAAGAGAGGAGTGCTCTGTCAGTCTGGAGAGGGCATGGCTCAGTTCAATCCAGTCTTGATGAAGCCCTACGATTGCCTGCTCTCACGTGGTCCAGTGGCAAGCTCAAGCATGCAAGTTCGGTATGCATTTGCCTCTCTTCTGATGAAGAGTCGGACGACGCATAGCTCGTTTCCCCGACTCAGGGGGAATGCCGGTGAGCCGAGTAGCAAGTTGCCAGGTTGTGTGTGTAATACGCCGACTTAGGAGTGCATGTGCATGTGTAAACTTTGCATGTTGGTGATATTGTTTTGCTCCATGGCTGCAGGATTATTTTTGAATGCATGAGAGTACTGCATGTTTGCTGCATGTTTGCTGTGCCTTTCCCTGTTTTCGGGGGTGCATGTTGAATTCCTTGCTGTGGTTCAATTCAGGAATTTGAAATTGATGACTTGCAGATAGTGGCAGCTGTTAAAACAAGGAAGTCGGGGCGAGGGTGAACGCTGGAGTTTTGGTGCCTCGCTGGAGTAGGTACGGGTTTTGGTGGGGTCATTATTGGAGAATGAGCCTGGGGTGGCCTCGGGGCGAGAGGTTTGGTGCGAGTGAGCGGTTTGGGTCCATAACTTTCGTTTCGTCAGCGATTCCTGCTCTCCAGCTGTGATACCTCCCTCACTTTCGGTGCTGCCATGGATTCCCTTGTGGTCTCTGTCGGGAGTTGGCTGAATGAGGGGCAAGGGCTGTTGAGCTCAGAGTCGATGCGAGAGTGGCTGCTGCCACTGCTCTTTTTGGGGACTTGCTGGATGTTTATGTTCAGCCAAGTCTACAGAATGCGAGGAATGCTGGTGAGGACACTCCAAGTCGTGGGTGGAGTGGAGTCCCGGCTTCAACAGATCGAAGCTGAACTACTTCAGGCGCGGACGGCCCTGCGTGTGGCAGGCCCAAGCCAGGAGCCTGAGAGTAGTGCACCAGTGGAGATGTTGGGACAGGTGTTGCTGGCATGCGAAGATGTGAGGGGGGTCACCATGACAACCCAACACGCCTGTGATATGCTGGGACATTTGGATAAGCAGCTGCACCACAGCAGCCACGAGATGGGTGACCTTGTGAGGTCCCATGTGGAGCTGAGCAAGGTTGTCAACAAGATGGTGGACAACCTCAATACTCATCTGCGAGACAGCCCTACCACGATTCCCACGGCCTGGGTCGATGAGCTGAAGGCAGCATTGACACCGTCGGTACAGTTGCTCAAGACGGTTCGGGATGCGGTGGAGTCGGGCTTGGATGGGCTCAACAAGCAGATGGCGGACCAGGACCTCTCGACCTTTAAGGACTTTTTCATCCGTTTTGAGGATGGCCAGGAGAAGTTCACTCAGGCACTGGCAGTAGTTGAGAAGCTGGGAAAGGCCACTTCAGTACCTGGAGTGCCTAAGGAAGTCCTGGACTGCTTGGGGCAGATCAAAGCAACAACAGATGCGAGTCGGGACAAACTGGACAAGCTCGAGCAGCTGACGCGGTCGAAGACGACGAGCATCTATGAGGAGGTTGGCCTTGTAAAGGGCCAGGCAAGCCAGTTGCACAAGGACACCCAGGCGCTTCTTACAAAGATGACGAAGACTGTTGAGCACCTGTCTGCGGTACAAGATGGCCTGGCGGGCACGATGGCGCAGATCGCGGCCACCTTCTCGAGGCCTCAGCCGGACCCCCCTGGACTGGCACGCTTGGTGGATACAACCCTGCAGCAAGCCGAGATGCTCAAGGAGCTGGAAAGCCATGTTGCTACCTTGCGCGAGACACAGGAAGAGATGGGTGAGACCATGAAAGAGATCCGGGAGAGAACACCGGATAGACCGCCGTATCGTGCCCCACCACCGGCGGCGGAGGCACACCCTCAGCCACGACCTGCTCCACAGGTCATCGACTTGCAGAGCAGGGTTCCTACGCCAATGGTTCGTCCATTGTACCAGATGACACCAGGGGGTATTGCCACAGTCATGTACAGCGATGGCAGTAGGCAGTCGTTCCGTGAGGAGGATCTGCGAGGGTTCGTGGGCCAGTAATGCATGTGAGCTTTGTTGGTTTTAGTACCTGTTTGTCTGTTCTGGACTGCGCGGGATCCGACCACATGGAAGCATGAGACAGTACAGCACAGCATGTCTCATTTCTGCATGTGCATTTTGCTCCCGAATGGTGTCTTGTTTTAGGTCATCCTTTTTGGTTGTCAGATGTGTGGGTTTCCCTGAAGTGCATGAGTGCATGGAGCATGAACTTGAAGTTGGAATTTGAGTGGAGGTGCATGTTGCATGTTGCATGTCTGTACTATGAGCATGTTGAAGAATTTATTGAATGCGGGAATTTGTTTGAATACGATGCCTGATGTGTGAAACTGCATGTCTGCATGATACATTGACAACATGCCGTCCCTTGGGTGATACCTTTATTTAGTCTTTCTGTTTGTGTGTCTTTTTGCTTGGGCTGATGGAAGACGGCATGCACGATAGTCTGTTGCAGTGATGCCCGTAGGAGGCATTCGGATCGGCACACGATGCTGAGTTGGCGTGGACAATTGCTCCAGCAAAAGAGAACCCCCGACTGAGCGATGTCACTGGACAGTTTCGAGGGCTACTGGGCTCTATGTGTGCTCTCTGTTGCTATACTGGGTGCGGGGTTATTTCGGTCTGTTTCCTCGCTGTCTTTCGTCAATGGGTCTGAGCAGGGGTGCAGTAAGCAACTGTCATGTCAACCCCTTGTGATAAGGGATGAGTACCGGCTTCGCCGTGACCCGCCAGTTTGTCGGGGTGGGGTGGGATGGTGATGAACCACAATGAATTGCGTCGATGCTCTCCGGCCCGTTTGGGGGATGATTGATGGCTGTCCTTGGGCTGACAGCTGCTGCAAGAGCAACGAACAAGCTTTAACGAACGAGCTTTACCGAACTCCCTCCCTAACCCGCGCTCTGCCATGTATGACGTTCTCAGTGCAGCCTCCTATGCCTGCACTGTCTACGGGGCTGAATGTTCATGACCTGTGGTGACTGCTGGAACACATGGATGATGAGGATAGTTCTGCCCTGGCGTGGCAGATACAAGCACATATTGGGAAGCTGCGAGCCTCTTTGCCAGGTTTGCGGACGGTCTGCCTTGTCAATGCCTACTGGGAGCACTTGGATAGGCTGTGTCAGGCATGGATTCTTGCACGACCCATGGAGGAAGATGTGGAAGCGGTGAAGGACATTGTTTCTCGCCTGGCTCGCAAGATCACGATCCGCACATGGTTTCTGTATGTAGATCACTGCCTCGATGCGAATACGTCGTATCTGCGAGGGAGTAGGCTCCCACTCTGACTGGCTCGGTGCATGGCAAAGCTACATGTCGTATAACACTGCATTGCTGGGGCAAGGTGGTTTGGCATGGATGATAGCCGTTCCACACAGCTGCGCATGGGTATTTTGTTGAGAATGGGACAGCTGTTGCAGAATTCAGGCGATTACAGTGGGAATTCATGACGGAGAATTTGTGATGGAATTTGTAGCAGCCATGGATGGATTACCGAGTGTGGGCGATTGGGTGCAATGGGAATTGATTATGACTGCATGAGGCTGGATGATTTTTCTGGTGCCCAGAATTTACCGAATTTACTGCCTGGCCAGATATTTGACTGCATGTGCCACGATGGGTGAGTGGAATGAGGCTTTGTGACGTGAGCAGTGACTGCATGGAAGCTGGAATTTACTGCATGGCATGTTTTCTGACCACTGGGGCTGTCTTTGGCGAGAGTGGTTCGTGAATTGGGCATGTGAGCTGCCTGTATATGGCTGCAGAGCTGTGCATGGATGCATGACGGCGACGTGAGTGAGTTGGTGGTCGAGAGAATGTCGTTCAGTGGCATGTGTGAGGGTTGGCAAGTGTTTTGAAACAGTCCTGAGAGAATCGTCTCAGTGCGTCATTTCGTTTCTCGCTACGGGGCTGTGCGCTGTCTTTCTTTGGTCCGAACCGGCTAGAGGAGGCTGGCAGGCCTGTAGTGATCCGGTGGAGACCGAACCAGAGCCTTGCCTGCTGCGTGCGAGTGTGAGTGTCGAAACCCCAAACCCTAAACCTCCAAAAAAGTCCTAAGCTCCAAGGATTCGCTGCTCAACGCCCGGACCATCCAAGCCTCCGGCAATGCCGAGCCCTCGGACCTCAGATCGCCAGAGAACGAGCGGTCTAGTGTTTGTGGCTTAGGGTATTTAGGATTTAGGGTTTTGCGGTTTAGGGTTTTGGGGTTTTGGGGTTTGGGGTTTAGGGTTTAGGGCTTTGGATTTTAGGGTGTTGGGGTTTAGCGTTTTAGGGTTTAGGATTTTGGGGTTTAGGATTTTGGGGTTTAGGGTTTTTGGGTTTTGGGGTTTAGGGTTTTGGGGTTTGGGGTTTCGGGGTTTAGGCTTTAGGGCTTAGGGTTTAGGTTTTAGGGTCTGTTTAAGGCCTAGGGCTTAGGGCATATGGTATAGAAGTACAGAAGCCTAAGTACCGTGCCAACATTATTCCTTTGGTTCCTCAGTCGAGTTAGAGAAGAAAGAAGCCCAACGCTGTTCGGATTCGAGCCATGGTGGCCCCTAGATTCGTGTTCCAGGCTTGGGGATGTTTAGGATGTGAGGGTTTTGTGATAGTTAGGGTTTGGGATTTTGGAGTTTTAGGGTTCTTGGTTTTAGGTTTAGGGTTCTTGCTTTTAGTTTCGATGGAAACGTCCCGCCGCCCCTGCAGGCACATCTTTCCACGAGCCCAGCCGCTACCCTCATCAGCATTACTGCCATCACCTTCTTTGATCATCCCTAAACCCTAAACCCGAAACCCTAAACCCTGAACCCTAAACCCTGAGCCCTAAACCCTAAACCCTGAACCCTGAGCCCTGAACCCTGAGCCCTAAACCCTGAACCCTAGAATGCCTTGAAGCCTCTAGACCTCTGTAGGCTGTAGGTCTCGGAAGAGCGCCGGCCACTTGTTTGGATGAGATATGGTTTTTTGTATTTTTATAACTAAGGTATCCGAAGGAGTGGCGACGTCGTCGGTGATTTCAGAATTGTAGGGTTCGCTCCGTTTGGCTTTGCAATATTACAAATTCGCGTCCCATCTTGTCTGACTCATTCTTTGAGGTCTTTTGCCAAGCGTATCACGTGTTTCATTCCTGCTGCTAGCTCGGCCTGCTAATTTTTGTTCGG